ATAGATAGATAGATAGATAGATAGATAGATAGATAGATAGATAGATACAGAGAGACAGAGACAGATGACAGATAGATATAGACAGACAGACAGACTAGACTAGCCAGGCCCAGTTCCTGCAACCGTTCATCGTATGTTTTAGCCTCCAGTCCCCTCATCATCCTGGTTGCTCTTCTCTGCACTTTTTCCAGAGTCTCAACATCTTTTTTTAATAGTGTGGTGACCAAAACTGGATGCAGGACTCTAGGTGTGGCCTTACTAAGGCTTCATAGGGTGGTATTAGTAGCTCCCTTGACTTCAATTGTATCCCTCTGTTAATGCAACTTAGGATTGCATTGGCTTTTTTTGGCTGCTGCTGCGCTGAATCTTCCCCCTGAGTTCCACTGGCCCTCATATCCCACACCGTGGACAACCTATGAAGGTGGACCTCCGTTCTGGCAGGCATGGAAGCTGCCCAGATGCAAACAGGGTAACCCCGAAGGCCCCTCCTTCCCTCCCCCCCCCCCCCCCCCCGTTCCTGTCATAGCACCCGGTTTTTGAGGCCTCCTCAAAAGATCTTGGAGAGTTTGAGGGTCACCTTACCGTAAGGCGTTGTCCGGACAGGCCAGGAGATAGTAGAACACGTTGAAGGTCGACTCGTTGGACGGACGCTTCGCCACCCTGAGTTTCTCCAGCAACATGGTCTGAGGAAAGGAATTGGGGAAGAGGGTTTGGCGTGGGCCCCCTTCGTGCCAGCAGGAGCCTCTAAGGAGAGCTCGCTTTGGTTTCTGCCCAGCTTGGGAGGATGGCAGTGAATCTCTCGACTTGGTCAACTGTTTTCGCGCTCCAGGATGTAGGAGGTGCAAGTTCTGTCCTTGGCGGCATCTCCGGACAAGGCAGACAGGTGCCAGACAACCTCAACCAATGGTCCACAAGTGTGGCCACTTTAAGCGGAGTGGGCTTCCACTCCCAGAATCCCCCAGCCAGCCTGCTTTAAGAGGGGAGGGCTTCCACTCCCAGAATCCCCCAGCCAGCATCCTTTAAGAGGGGTGGACTTCCACTCCCAGAATCCCCCAGCCAGCCTGCTTTAAGAGGGGTGGGCTTCCACTTCCAGAATCCCCCAGCCAGCC